GTATCTTTGGTGTGCTGGGGGCCGGAGCGGACGAGTGGCAGGGCGCGGTGGGGCTGGGGCCCGCGGCGCAGCAGCAGGCGCTGCTGCTGCAGCAGGTGGCGGCGCTCGGCCAGATGCCGGCCGGCGCGGAGGCGGCCGCCGCAGCAGAGGCGCTGCAGCAGCAGCTCGCCGCAGCGCCGCCCGCGTTCCTGTCGCAGCTGGCGGAGTGGCTGGCCTCAGCGCAGCCGCACCTGCAGGGAGGGGCCTCGGCGGCCGCGGGCCCTGCCGCTTTCGCCGCGGCGATGGCAGCCGCCGCGGCCGCGGCCGGCGGCGGCACGCCGCCGCGCGCGAAGCGGCGCAAGCAGGAGCGGCCGGCGCGGGCGCCCTTTTATGGCGTCCAGTCCGGCACGCCCGGCGGGCAGCCGCGCTGCCGCAGGCGGCGCAACAGCTTCTTGGGAGCTGCGGGCGGCGGTGTCGTAGAGGATAGCGATGGGGAGGCGGTCGGGGATGCCAAGCGCGCGCGGCGCGTGGGGTCGGACGAGCTCTGACGCGCGGCGCGGTTGGCGACCGACGCCGGGGCGCAGAGCCCCGTGCGAGCAGTTGTGTGACCCTGGAGAGCGAACGAGGGGAGAGCGAACAATCGACTTGGCTCATTCACAGAGCGAACACACACCCACACCAGCAGGGTCAGTGACACCCTCGCCCCTAAAACAGGACTCGCTGGCGGGTGCGGTGATCCACCCATCACGCGCCCTATCACGCGTGCCGCCGCGCCCGAGCTGCCTTGGCTGCAGCGGCACCCTACCTTGCTGGCTGTGCGCTGCTCCTCCCGTGTGCAATCCGGGCTGCATGTGTGGCCGTCGCCGCACCCGCTCTCGCCGCCAAGTTGTCGGCAAACAAAGGCGAGCTCGAGCGGCACAAAGCGCTGGACTGTCCAACCGCCCCCAACCACCACTCCTTTTCGCCCACTGGGTTGCCGCCGCGTGCGGCATGCCAAGGTTTGGGCCCGGGGCTAGACCACGCCCTTGGGAGTGCCCCCTGGCTGCCGCCGCGCGGTTTTTGTGCTACGCTTTTTGATTTGAAGTGCACAGCACCACACGCATCTGAACACGCACAGCTTTATTAGGCGAGCAGGAGAGCGCGAGCAAATAAGCGCCGGGTGCGTCGCCAGCTGGCGCCCGCGCCTCGGCCCGCTTTTCCCGCGAGTCTGCTTTGAGTTGATCCTCCCCTTTTCACATTGGAGTGTTGTCCATCCAGCAGTTGCCCGCAAAGGACCCGGTCTGTGTGTTGCAATGGTTGAGAGGGAGCGAAGTTTGAGAGCACCGAGCGAACGTTAGAAGGGGGGAGGGGGCGACAAGTGCGGTCCTCCCCTCCCCGGCCCCTGCTTTGACGAAAGTCCTTATTTGGTGTCGCGCGCACGGTCGGCATCAGCCGCCGCACAGCCACGCGCTTGATGGTGCAGTTCTGTGCTGCAGCACTGCAATGGCCCTCCGCAGCAGCACTGCCCGGCCTTTATCCGCTTTCTCGCGAGCCAGCCGCTCCCCGCCGGCGCCCATCGTTTTTTGACACCGCAATCGCACCTCCCCGCCCTCCGCGCGTGCTGTGGCGCTGCATTCCTCGACGCTTGGAAGCTCATTGGGCTCGAGCTCCGGCCCGCCTGCCAGGCGCCGCGCCCAGCCATGCGGCCCTCGCGCCTGGCAGCTGCACACGGGGCTGCGTACGCGCGCCCTGACCCTGTCTGGGCCATGTGCTTGCGGGCTGCTGTGGTTGGTCTGCGTGTCCTATGTATGCAGACGGCATGCATGCTGGGTACATGCGATCTTCGATAAAGCATAATGTAGGACGCCCACCTCTACTGTAACGCCCGTCACTTGCTCATGACCTTAGTTAGATCGGCGCGGGCGGGATTCAGCTCAGGGTGAGCTTAAAAGACTAAGCTGGTCAACTGGGGCCCGTCGATCGCTGTGGTGCAGTGAGTTTCTGGTTCTAGTTCGGTTGAAACCGCCACGAGAGCGAAAGGCATTCCCAGTGTGTGGAGGGTGGGGGGTGGCAGTTGACTGGGTCAACGCGCAGATCTTTCGTGCATGCTGCCTTGGGCCCTTGTCCACTGGCAAATTTGAAATCAATGGAGCATCAACACCCATTCTCAATCACACCCAATCACAGATTTGTCACGGCTGATCCCGACGTTGCCGTTTGCGCGAAGCTGGCGGCCCGCTCAGCATATTTGTCCTGAATATGGTGCTGAATATGGTCTTTTATGCATCAATATTAGCCTTTGCTGGCTTGCGCGCTGATTCGAAGAAGTGAACGATACGGGCCCGGAACCAGGACACGTGTGCCCTTTTATACGCAGAGCTATAATCCCAACTGTCAAGTTTGGACAAATCAAGCATCTCATTGGGCTCTGAAACGATCCCAGGGGACTTCGGATCATACCGAGGCTCGAGCATGATGAGCCTCCGGGCCGCGGATACAGACAAGTTCCGGGGCGCCTCAGATAAGGTCGAGCAAGTAGAAACCACATCGGAGCAGGTGCTGGCCGCCGGCGCTGGCGTCGGCAACGGCGTCGCGACCTTGGACGCCTCCGCGCATGACAAGCAGCCGCGGCTGCTGGACCAGCAAAAGCCCTCGATCAATGCGTACAACGTCCCAGAGATCTTGAAGATAAAGTCACTGCCGGCCACACTGGCGGGCGCGCCAGCGAGCGCCGCGGTAGCGGCCGCCGGCGCGGCGGCAGGTGCTTTGACGCCCTTGCGGCCTGCCGGGGATCTCATTGCAAGCGGCGCGCCCGCGCTGCCCCTGTCGCGAGAGGTGCCGCTGCCACCCAGCTGTGTGCAGCACCTTTCCGCGTCACCGGCGCGCCGCCGTTCGCCCGCATGGCTCGCTGGCGGCGGAGGCGGCGGCTTTGTCCATTCTGAGCCTGCCCTCGCTGTTCAAGAGAATGTCCCGGGAGGATTCACGTCCAGCGAGGCCGAGGGTGCCGCTGCCGAGGTCAGACCACGCTCCACCGCCCTGCCGCCGAGCGCGTCGGCGCCGCCGGCGTCAGACCCCGCGCCGCCCCAGACAGCCCCGCCGCCGCAGGCGCCGTCGCCATCGCCGGCGCCGGCGCCACCGGCCGCGCGCCACGCGGGCGCGGCCCTGGCGCCCCGGGCGGCGGCCGCCATCCCCCCGACGCCCCCCGACGTGGCGGG